AGGGTTCTGATAGTTAACCGAGAGCAGCTAGCGTGGTCACTTTTGACTTTTAGGCATCAACTTTTCCTGGGTTTTGAGTTTTAGGTAGATGGAAATCAGAGGTCACTGCAAAGGGGAGAGCCAGGAGGACCCTGACGCGGTCAGTTCCCGGGTGCGGTGCAGTCTTGCTGGGTCTCACCACATACCTGCTGAAGTGGACTTCCTGGGGCTGGCTGGTGGTGCACTCTGCCTTCCCTGCACGCCTGGCCCCTGGAGCTGGAGGACCACTGCTTCCCAGAACATTTCTTCTCCCCCGTCCCGCACACCATCCCTTCCCCCTGCCATTTTGCCGCTATGGAAACAGGCCCAGAAATGTGAGGCCCCACATGTTTAGGGACAGACCCCGGAGTATAGGACAGTCTCCTTTCACCTGCCTCTCCCTGCCTGCCCACGCTGCTGGGGTGAAGTTCAGCCTTAAGCTCAAGGGTCACCCAGGCCCAGACCTGACCGCAGGCTTCTCTGGTAATAATATCTGGTACTTCAGAAGGCAGGTTTCAGCTTCTGGAGTAAATTTTCCTGGTTTTTATCCCATGGAGTGGTTTAGTGCCCTGGGGCACTGAGACACACCTGGGGGGGATTTTAATCCTTGCACAAGGAATGGAGAATCAACTAATCCATTTTACAAATAAGTGCAGTGAGGTCAGCAGTGCAGGCCCGAGGCGCCTCTTATTTGCTGATGGATCTGATGAGCTTGTGCGCCCGCCTGGCTTCTCTACCCAGGGAGAAGGGTGACAAGCTGAGCTGGGGGACAGGAGCCTAGAACGCCATCAGCACCCTTGGGAAGCTGCAGGCAGGCAGTGAGGAGGCACCAGGCCTTGCTTGGTCCCTGTGACCACTCAATAGCAACTCCCCAGAATCCCGCCTCCAGTGGAGTCAGAGGGGGACAGGTAGAGTCCACCGGAAGGTGCTGTTGTGGCCAGGAGGTTCTTCCTGAACCTGTGCTTGAACTTAGACACCTCATGGGACTGAAAAGGCCTGATCTCGGAGGACATAAACACTGTACCGTTATTTCTTTTATTTTTTTTCATTTGAAATTTACCTTTAGAAAACTAGTCTGTAATAGGAACACCATAGAAGAGGCCAAGGACAAGTTGAATCTTTCGGGCAGTGCCTTTTAACACTGGGCTTTGCCATGGGCAGGACTAATGAGAGTCAAATCATGAAGGTATGAGGCTGGTATTCCCTGGGTGACCTTCTGGGGAGAAGGGGGGTGTTTCACTTGTGATTTGATGAGTCGGGTAGAAATGTTTGCTTTTCTAGCCTGTAAGGTTGATGTGGGTTTTTTTTTTTTTTAACTTACTGTCTAATGCAGTGTTGTTTTTTTTTAAAGATTTATTTATGCATATAAGAACTGGGGTACAGGCCAGAGGTGCAGGGTGGGGGGGCCGGTGAGAGGATTCACCAGAGACAGAGTGGGGAGCAGAACAGGCGGATGTACTGGAACACACTGCTGAGGGGAGCAGCGGGGAGACAGGAGAGGTCTGCTGCGCCATGTGGGTCAGCTCCCTGGCTGGGGAACTTACTGGTGCTACAGAGGCTGCGAACAGCTTCCTAGTGGTGTGCTTATTAACCCCTTGTGCCACCAGGGAGGCCCACAGGGATTTGTTTAGAAAAAACAAATCCCCACCAAGGTGGAAGCTGGGGAGCCTGCCTTCTCATGGAAACTTCTGAAAAGATGTGGGTTTTTATTACATGAGGCTTAACTCACAGAAAGTTGAGGGCTGGAGGAACAGCAGCCTCGGGACCATCGTTCTCACACACGCACACGCCTTCTAGTCTGTGCCGCTGGGCACACCCTTTCTTGGTCAACCCCAGGCTGCTCGGCCCTCACGCCTGCGGCAGCACGCAGGCTTCCCTCATGCAGGCAGCCCCTCCATTCCTTGTCTTCATGCTAGGACTCTCTTCCTGCCCAGGCCCTCAGCCCTGCTTTGCCCACACTTGTTTCTCTGCCCTGACTTCTTCACCTCATTTCCTGGCGTGTCCTTTCTGCCCTCCTGTCCTGCTGCGGCATCTGGAGTCAGCAGCTCTCAGGGCAGCGAATGGGGCCTCCCTTGCTGCTCCACCCTCTGGGCCTCCAGCCTTATCTTTCCCTGTGGCGTCTGCCCCACCCCCTCTCACTGCCCCTGACCCCACCTTCCCTGCAGTGAGCGGAGGTTTCCCCTGCTGATCCTAAGCCATTTAAGACCCAGGTCCTAAACTGACTTCTGGAGGTTGTCTCCCGGGAAGTGCAGAGCGAATCCTCTTCCTCCTTCCCCTTGTCTCCTTCCCTTTTCTTCTCTTTTAATGGAGGTGCAAACTCCAGTGAGCTGCATCACTGCCCAGCTGTTGGTGGGCTATCCTGGGAGGAGCCAGGCCTCAGCCAGGCCCCTAGGACGTCTAGGCTGAATCGTGGGGCCGGCGACCCTCGCCTGTTAAACCTGGATAATGTGGGTGGAATGTGGTAGGGGATCGGCAGTGTGGGGGCTCCCAGGAGGTATGTAGTTCCATAGATTTGTTCAGGGAGACCTGCCTGTTTGCCACCCCCTCAGCAGGGTCTTTGAAGACCCTCCCAGTCTCCACCCCTTCCTTCGGGGGCCACCTCCATCTGACTCCTGTCACCATCAGTTAGTCCTTTAGTCTTGATTCCGTTGACATCTGGGGGGGTCTAAGTAGCAGACTGTGTGCCTGTTGGGGGAGGGGAATCGGGTGCTGTGTGCCTCCTGCCAGCCTCCTGGGGTGGCTCCCAGTGACCCCACAGCAGTCCTGCCCGGTGGGTGTTGCCTTGGGAAGGGAACTGAGGCTCACCATGGTTGAGAGAATTACCCCAGATCAGAATAAACCTGGATCCTGTCTAGGGGAGCCTGTGCATTCCCCCATCTGCAGGGCTTCCTGCTTTCCGGGTAGGTTTGCCTCCTATTTGCTTTATGCTTCCTTAAACTGCCTCAGAGGCCCTGGCTAGGAGGGATCATGCCTTGCTGGTTGGGTGCCCCAGGTGCTTATGTTATAAAGCAACCCCGATATTAAACGGGTTCCTGGCTGTGTGTCCTCACCCGCGCGCTTTAAAGGGACTTATGAATACTCTACTACAGACACACACAAAAGGGTTAATAAAAGGTTTATTTACAAGAGAAAAAGAAATAAGGAAAATGTACAACTCAGGGAGAAAATAGGGAAATAAAGTCTTTAATGCGTCCTACCCGATCCGAAGACCTGGAAACCCAAAGTCACTCTCAGAGATGGCCGGACGCTGCGAGCTGGTGGAGAGCCCAAAATGGGTGCCCCCAAAGCCCACGTGTCTGCCTTTATACTCACTTGGCTGCTTAACCCCACCCTCAGGTCCCAGCCACCTTCCCTTTGGTGGTGATGGGATTTGGAGTTCCCAGTGTCTTTGGCTTTGACCTGGGGTGGGGGTGGAGTCCACAAAGCCTATATGGAAATAGCTTTGGGACATCCTTTTCCCCCTAACACTTGGTAGCAGGACACTCAGCAGGAGGTAGTCAGTGGAGGCTGGCTCACGGCTCAGCTCCTGGGGTGCCTGGGTGGAGAGGAACAGTGCCCTGAGGTGACCAGCAGAGAAGGGTCCCAGGACTTGTCCAGGCCCCTCTTGGGGCTGGAAGGAAGGGTGCCAGCGTGTGGTTGGAAGGACCTGCCTGGTTTCTGCAGCACCCCGAGCTGCCAGTCCTTTTGATGCCTGTTTCACGGCAGCATTTCAGATCTGACTGTGAAGCCTGGACCCTCCCCCTGCTCTTAGGTGCCCCGGGAGTTAAGCAGGCAAAAATAATGCCGCGGCCTGAGCACGTGGCAGTCTAATCTGAGAGTGCTGGTCTGCTGGTGTCCACAAGGACACGGTGTCACCCTGGCCTTTCCCGGGGGTGGAGGCCCTCGGGCAGGGTCTCAGCAGGAGGGAAGCTGCCTGTGGTTCTGAAAGGGCTAAATTCTGGGCTCAGCCTCTTGGTGCACACGCCTGCACACAAACACAGAAGTGAACTCCAGAGCTCCAAACACGAATCAGCCCTCGGCATTCCCTGCTGGTGGCCAGGGCTGCGGCCGTGGCGGTGCACACTGCCTGCTCCTAGATCTCAGCTTCCGGCGTTTGTGTGCGGAGAGCTGCCTCCTTAACTGAGCTCTCCATAATAGTTCCCCTAACTGGATATGGGCCAATGGCACAAACCCATAGCCCCCTGCTCTGTAAAAGGACTCACTAGTCCTCAGGACATAAGCCCCGGAGCCGCGGGGGTCCCGACACGGCTTGCCAGCCTCTCCTGGGGAGCAGTGACATCGCCCGGTGAGCGCCGGCCTTGTTGTCTGAAACGAGAGCTCTTTCTGCGGTGCAGCTGGAACTTGGCCTTCCCAGGGGTCCCAAAATAGCCAGGCCGCTGCAGGGAGTACTGCGTGAGAGCTGGAGAGGGACCCCGGCCTGCCCAGCAGGCTTGGCTGCGTTTTAAGAGCCACATAATTAATCCCGGTTTTGTTCTCCTCCTGTGCTGTTTCTGCTTCCCTGCGTGTGTCTCTCCCTTTCTTGCTGCTTGTTCTGAAATTACTCCCGAGGAGGCAGCCCCTGCTGACTGCCCCTTCTCTGCAGAACTTTCCGAACTGTGGCCTGGGTTCTGGTCCAGCACGGCACAGTCTCCTTAGGCAGTGTGAGGGCCTCCTGGAAGCCGGGGAGCTGACTGTCCCTGGTGTGAGGAATTGCATCTTCCTCTGACCGGGGAGACAGTGGTGGGCTGTGAGCTCCTGCACAGACCGCTGCTGTTAGCGCCCAGGGGCCTGTCTCACCAGTTCAGGAAATTGGGGCTTCTCTTGTGCTCAGCAAGTACCTTGGCCCCTTTCTTGATGCTCCTAATTCTTAAAATGCTGGCCAAACTGAAACCTCTGAAGGGAGGGGGTGTCTGGCAGACGCAGGTGCCTGGAGCAGCCGCGCTCCCTGTGCTCAGCCATCCTGCCTGGATTCTAACCTGCCTGTGTTTTCCTTTCGGCTCTAGGAAACGCCATCCTCTACAAATGGCCCTTCTCGGGAAGGCCCCAGGCTGCTGTCCACTAGAGAAGGCCAGGCGGTGTACCCCCAGCTCCGACCAGGCTACATCCCCATTCCTGTGCTCCACGAGGGCGCCGAGGGCCGACATCCTTTCCACGCCTCTCCCCTGGCTGGGACGCAGCGATTCCGAACCGAGGCGGCCACCGCGGCTCCTCAGAGGTCCCAGTCCCCTCTGCGGGGTGTGGCGGAAGCCACCCAGCCAGATAAACAGTGTGGTCAGGCCACGGCAGCAGCTGCAGCTGCAGCAGCCCAGCCCCCAGCCTCCCACGGACCTGAGGTAAGGCGAGGTCCTGCCCATGCCGGTGGGGTGCCACCAGGAAGCCGTGCCACGTCCTCGGCTGTTCCCAGACCCTGATGCCAGTGCCCAGGTTCAGGCACCTGAGAAACACAGGGCATCTGGGCCTGGCCTGCTGCATCGAGGTCACTCAGCAAGGACGGCTGACCTTGTCCCTGCATGGTGCCCCGGCCTGTCACAGGAGTGTTTTTCAGGTGGGCTGCAGGGATCCCGTGGCTTATTTTGTTGTTACGGAATTGGGTGCAAATGCATAAAAAGCAAGTGGTGCGGCTGGAACTAGAGGCCTGGCCTTCCGGCTCCCGGTCAGTGTCCGCCGTCCCACCGGGCTTTCTGTGTCAGAAGCACGCAGGTGGTGGGAGAACTGCTCGGAGCTGTGTTGATATGAAAATGAGACAGCCTCCCTGCCCTCCCAGGTAGGCCTCCACAGTAAGGAGGCAGGACAGCAGCTGCTTCCTGAGAAGGCGGTGAGCCTCACGCTAACTAAGCTGGTGTCTGAGGCCTAGTTCTCAAGCTGCTTCTTAGCTGAGGGTGAGGCTGGTGCCCCCGAGGGATTCCAAACAGTAGCCCTTTTGGTTTTCCCGTCTGCGGGCCGTGCCCCGTGTCCTCTGGCACTGCTTTTGAGCACCAGTTATCATGCCACTCTGCACCCAGTTGGGATCGTCTGCCCCTATCTGTTTGGCTCCACTGCCAACCTGGGGGTAAAAACTCAGCAACATTGTGGGGTCACTGGAGGCTCTTCGCCTTTGTTGGAGAAGCAGTACCTATGCGGGTGATGTTCTCATTGCAAAAATCAAAAGTGACGCATTAATGAGAGAAATCTTAACAATCTTGAGCTAACAGGACCCTGGGAAGCCAGCTGGGGAAACACCCTTCCCTCCTGATTTCCCTGGTGAACAGAAGGTGATGTGGCAGAGAAAGGGGCCTGGCCTGTCTGGGCCACACACAGGGACCCACCCAGCTCCCAGTGCCCAGCCAATGAGCTGGGACAGGACTGAGGAAAGAGGAAGGGAAGTCAGCAGCAGTCCCACCAGTGGATGGAGTCCCTTCTGTGCGTGGCCCTTGAGCCACGCCTCCAGGGGCTGTCACTGCATCTTCAGGCTGGCCTGGGCACGGGGACAGAGGGGCAGCTCTTCTGTGTTGTACCTGAGACTCTGAAAGCTGTTGAGCTATTAAGAATTGGAACCCAGGCCTCTTGGACGCCAGAGCTCCCAGGCTTCACCCCACATTTTGAAAATGGAAAGGTTGACAGGAGGCCCACTGAGAGGTGTGTCCCTGAGCTGCACACAGGATCGAGGTCATAGTGCCAAGGCTCGGGGTCATTCATGGGGCCGGCCTCCTCCACCCTTTGTGTCTTGCAGCGATCCCAGTCTCCAGCCGCCTCCGACTGCTCATCCTCGTCCTCCTCGGCCAGCCTGCCCTCCTCCGGCAGGAGCAGCCTGGGCAGTCACCAGCTCCCCCGGGGCTACATCCCCATCCCTGTGATCCACGAGCAGAACGTCACCCGGCCGGCTGCCCAGCCCTCCTTTCACCAAGCCCAGAAGACCCACTACCCGGCCCAGCAGGGTGACTACCAGACCCACCAGCCCGTGTACCACAAGATCCAGGGGGACGACTGGGACCCCCGGCCCCTGCGGGCCGCGTCGCCGTTCCGCCCGCCCGCCCGGGGCACATCCAGCCGAGAGGGCTCTCCGGCCAGAAGCACCACGCCCGTGCCCCCGCCGTCGCCCCTCCGCGTGCACACCGTGGTGGACAGGCCTCAGGTATGGGAGTTGGGGTCCTGCCTGGCCACGGCAGCGACTCTAGGGGGGCGGAGAGCTCTATGCAGGTACCCTGGGACCCCGCCAGCCCTAACTAGTTCACACACGTGAAATTGGGAGAACGGGGGAGCCCAGAAATGGCTGGTCAGCAGCAGAGCTGCAGGACAAGGATACAGACGCTCAGCAGGCCCTCTCTGCAGCTTTTGCTCATAGTTTGTTGCAACTTCCTTACACTTCCAGCCACCCTGGTGGGAAACTGTGGGTAGAACTTAGTTAGCATCACACACCTGGGGTGCAGGTTCCTTAGTGCCCCCCATGCCCTTTCAAGGCTCACATACTCTTCCACACAGCTCAGCCTCGACCCCAGCCTTTCTTCTGCTTGTGTCCTTCCTCACTGTTACCCCCATTGCACTGTGCACCCCCGTGCTGCCCATTCCTCGCGCTGTGCCTTTGCTCATGCTCAATCCACCCCCAGAAATGCCTTCACAACCCAAGCTCCCCCATCCTCAAAGGCACCAGCCTGTCACCTCCTCCATGAAGCCTGCTCCTCTTCCTCCCCCGGCGCCTCTTATGAATCTCCTCAGTTCAGCACTTGATGCTCTGCCCCCTTATCAGGTGTGTGTCTTATCTCTTCAGCTCAGCTCCCAGCTTGGCACCCGGGCCCTGGCTCACACCTCCCTCCTCCTCCACAGGGAGGACCGGTAGCTTGCTGAGTAGCTGCCGGAGGTGGTGAAGGTTGCAGGCCTGGTCTGCTCCTTTCTTTGGAGACTTTGGGGTCATCCTGGAGGGGGAGGGGTCTTCTGATTTCAGCAACTTGTAGCTTCCTTAGTGACAGAGCAGGCAGCAGCCTTGAGCCGCCTCTGGCTGGCACAGTTTTTGGAAGGAAGACCTCCTGTAAACAAGTGTGGGTGTCTTTTCACTGTAACTGGTGATCCTGTCCAGCACCCTGTAACAAAGCACCACTTTTTTTGAGCTTTTTTTATTTGTAAATAATTTCAACCTTACAGACATTACAAGTCTTGTACAGAGACACCAGTGTGCCCTTTTCACTCTTGTTACCATGTTGCTGCATGTGCTTTGTCATTTCTTCACTCTCTAAATGGTTTATATAACTGAGATAGAGTTGTAGATATCATGCCCTCTTATCCCCTAGTTACTTCAGCAAATATATTCCCAAGAAACAGGCATTCTCATTCCTAATCCTGATTAGATACAGGAAATCTACATCCTCCCAGTGCTGTTACCTGGCACAGAGACCACTTCCAAGTTTGTACAGCGTCTCCCCCCTCCCTGAGGTCCCGTCCAGGCGCGTGAGCACGACGCTGAGAGGTCGTGTCTTTCATCTCCTTCAGTCTGGAACAGTTCCTCGGCCTGCCTTTGCTTTCATGACCTTGACATTTTTGAAGAATACAGCTGGAGGGCTTCCCCTCTGAAGTGTGTCTCAAGTCACTTCTTACTCAACCTTTGCTGTGAGATCCAAGGAGGGGGCTTGTGGCCCTCGCGTGAGTGCTTAAGGGCCAAAGTTGAGGACATCTGAGTTGGCAAAAGACATCTGATGAGATGGGGGTTGCTGGGTTCAACTAGCTAAGTGACCCCCAGGCCCTCACCCCAGCTCAGGCGTCCTGAGTGCCTACTTGCAGAGCAGTGCATGTCTCTCCCATGTATTTCCCATGAGCACTGAACAATATTTACTCCTATTTTCACCTCCTTATCTTTGTTTGACCTCCCTTTTATAGCTTGTTCAAAGAGCCCTTTTTGGAGACTTGCAAGGATTTGACCTTAGCAAACATAGTGGAATTTTATAATTGGAATTGAGAGGACTTTAAAAAATAATGTTGTCCCTCTCTTACTTCCCAATTGATGGAATTGGAGTGTATGTGATTTCTAAAGCTCATGGTACTCTCAGAAGAGCCCAGATGTTTCTGTTCTGGCTGTGCTCATTTCAGAATATATCGCTGTGGCTTATTGTCACATTAAAGAGTGTCTCAGCCCGGGCTAGTGTTAGCTCTGGCACACTGTGCCCATGAAAAAAGCTTCTAGGGTTAACTATTTTGGGCAACTCACTTATTCTCAAAAAATGCATCAGTCTGGGGAGAAACCATTAGGCTGTCATGGGTTTTAAAAAAAAATTGTAACTGTTCTGAAGCAGGAGATGGGAAGGTCACACCCTGAGCAGGACTGTGCCACAGTGGACAGGAAGAGGGCACCCCACACCCCCACCCAAGGACCCGAGTCACAGGACTTGGCCTGGAGCTAAACCAGCCCAGCAGCCCACGTGAGCTTTAGGCATTTTTGAAAATCAGATTGGTCTTTTCACTGCCAAAGGAACACCTCTACAGTGAGAGGTAACAGGCCCATAGTCTCAGGTGGTAAATGGAGGCATGACAAATGGCCTGGCCTCATACATGATTAATACCTTATTTTTGCTCTGTAACAGCTGTTGGTTGACTTTGAAAATCTCCTTTATACTGTTAAACTTTTAAAAAGCCAATCCCCAGTTCTTTCTAATCGGTACTAGCTACAAGCAACAGCCTGTGACTCTCAGCCAGTTATTAAAAATATCTCTGTGTCCTTGCCTCTCCTCAGCAGCCCATGACCCATCGAGGATCTTCGCCTATTCCCCAACCTGAAAACAAACCAGAAAGCAAGCCAGGCCCAGCTGGACCTGAACTCCTTCCTGGACACATCCCGATTCAGGTGATCCGCAAGGAGGTGGATTCTCAGCCTGTTTCCCAGAAGCCCCCACCTCCCGCTGAGAAAGTAGAAGTGAAGGTTCCCTCTGCCCCAGCTCCTTGTCCTCCCAGCCCCGCTGCTCCTGCTGCCTCTTCTTCTCCCAAGAACGTGGCTGCAGAAGAGAAAGCAGCCCCCAGCCCTGCCCCTGCTGAAGCCACACCCCCCAAACCAGGAGAAGCTGAGGCACCCCCAAAACACCCAGGTGTGCTGAAAGTAGAAGCCATCCTGGAGAAGGTGCAGGGGCTGGAGCAGGCCGTAGACAACTTTGAAGGCAAGAAGACAGACAAAAAGTATCTGATGATAGAAGAGTATTTGACCAAAGAGCTGCTGGCCTTGGATTCCGTAGACCCTGAAGGACGAGCTGACGTCCGTCAGGCCCGGAGAGATGGCGTCAGGAAGGTTCAGACCATCTTGGAAAAACTGGAACAGAAAGCAATAGATGTCCCAGGTCAAGTGCAGGTTTACGAACTCCAGCCCAGCAACCTTGAGACCGATCAGCCGTTGCAGGAAATCATAGAGATGGCAGCAGACAAGAATAAGAAAAGTGCTGGAAATAGAGAAGACCCCAAAACTGAACCCCAGCCGCCAGAAACCAAAGAAGGGGCAACGCCAAACCCCAGCAGCACGACAGACTCAGCTGGAAACCCACCAGCACCCTAGTCTCACCGCGTTCGGCTCCGACCTAGAGACTGGGAACTGACTGTGTGCTGTAGGGAATTTTAAGTTGCATGCATTTCAGAGACTTTAAATCAGTTGGTTTTTATTATTCATAGCTGCTTGATCCGTAGTAACCTGGGTGGAGGTAAAACACACTAATAAAAGGGCTAAGAGGAAAATGACGCTTTTCTTCTGTATTCTTACCCTGTACCATAAAGAAGTTGCTTGTTTCAAAAGTTTAACCCCATTGCTATTGTTTGGGGGCCCTCTCTGTGCCGGGCTACCACGTATAGGCCATGGTTGTGAGCTCTGGACTGAAGGAGTTTGGGGGGACAGGTGGGGAGTCTTATTTCCCATCACAAAAGTAAAAAACCCGTTTTACAGAAATGTTGCCATTTAAATGGGATGATTTTCTTCATCTCATAGCTGAAATACCTGATTGTAGCTAGGATAAAATGTGCAAGGAGCATAGGGATATCTGTATGTGGAGTGACTTTAACTGCTACATTTTAAAAAAAGAAAATAAAATAATGTAATGCCAAATGTTGTGGTTTCTAAAACTTTGAAAAGAACAATAGCACCTAGCGTGTCTCTTCCTGGCTCAGGTGAATGGAATGGCAGGGGTGTTTACAAGCCTGGCCTGGACTTGGTAACCTTTTTCCCTGCCCAGCTCCTGAGAGACCAACTCACGGTCACTTGCCAGTCTCAGATTGCAACTAGAACCCAGGGGGTCTCGGCTGTGGACCCAGAGATGAGTGCGCACCTCTTCAGACAGGCCCAGCCCCGGGCCCTTGGACAGCTGCTCTGCCCACCTGGCCTCAGTTGCCTGCCGGCCTCACCTCCCTCCGGGCTGAGCTGCTTCAGGCTAGCACAGGGAAGCCCGCTGCTAGTATTGCCCAGGCTGGGGCCCAGGTCCCCAGAGAAGGGGAATGTGCCTGTGAGTCTTGGGGTCCTCTCTCTGACACTTCTGAGAGCCCCCACACCGGTCCAGGACTGGGTGTCTCCCCAGGTTGGATTCCTAGAAGCCTCGGGTGAGGGATCAGATGTGCCCGGAAGCCACCAGGTGGAAGGATCCTTCCTTCTGCGTCAATGTTTTTTTAAAAGCTTGGGAAGGACCATAGCTCCCTAATGGGCTGGATTTTGTTTTTCTAACTGCTCACCCAGTGAACCTGAAAATAAAAAGGAAGAGAAAGATAGGCCTGACACCGTGGAACTCCCAGGGAGCCTGCTGACTTCAGAGCCCCCAGGCTGAATTCCCCATGACTGTATCGAGTTTAATATTGGTGCCTGACGAGGCTACACAAAAATACACACTGGTGTGCTTGCTGAGGAAGCTTGAAGTCATTCCCATGGGAAGCCGCCAGCATCATTCCTGGGTGAACTCATTTGGGGAGTACGAGCCGACGGCCAAAGACACGAGTGATCCTACAAACTCAGAGGTGTACATGGGGAAAAGCCTATTTTTTTTGTAAAGGAACAAAGAGGAAGCACGTGATCATTTCTTTCTGTGACTCGGGCGTCTCTTTCCAATTGATCTCAACACGAAGCCTCCTTGGGTTGTTATGGAATTAGACTAATATTACTTTTAATGCTTATCGCCATCATCAACTACCTTTAACGTAGTTAGAGTATTTTCAATCCTCCAAACTAGGTGGTGCCTGGATATCAGGGTGGGAGCTGTCAGACCCGTGTGGGTGGTCCCTGGGCCTCACAGGGGGTGCTGGCTGGGTCTAGAACTGCCACGGCTCTTCCTAACGAAAGTGACATGGCCCATGAGGGATTCAGGAGTCATATCCACTGAGCATCTGCCAAGAGTTGGCTTCTTTAATCATCCCCACGCCCTAATTCAAGAGAACATCGTTGTCCAGAACACAGGCTTCAGTCAGAACTGGATTCAAACCACAGCTTCACGTATCAGCTTAGGGACAAGCGAATCACCTCGCTTGTCCTCTCCTGGTTTCCTCAGCTGTAAAATGGAGCAGGGGAGGTGGAGTTCAGACTCGAGGGGCGCACCTGGCCCATGGTCAGCACTAGCTGCTGTTGACATCCTCACAAGGTGAGTGAGGAAACACGAGTGACACACCCAGAGTCGCAAGCAGGGGCGGGAATTGAATCCAAGGCCCAGGACCCCGAAGGCCATGTTAGGCCCACCACCGTGGCAAGTGGGGTGGCCATGAAGGAAGGATGATACACCCCACAAGTATGAGAGTAACCTTAGGCCTCTTCCTCAGCACATTTTAAAAAATGTGTCATAATGCTAGGGATTGGGCCTCCCTGGTGGCGCAGCGGTTGAGCGCTGGGTCGCGAAGCTGCCTGCAGCCTCTGCATCACCTGTTCGGTCCCCAGCTGCTTCCCAGACACTGGAGGAGGGTCCCCCATGGCCCGCAGACCTCTCCTGCCGCCCGCTGTTCCCCTCAGCAGTGTACTTCGTCACTCTGCCTGCTCTGCTCCCCGCTCTGGCTCTGGTGAATTCTCTCACCCTCCCGCGCTTCTGACTGTACCCAGTGCTTGTACAAATAAATAAAAATAAAAAAAATAAATCTTTAAAAAAAAAATGCTAGGGGATTATCCCTCTTTCTCAGGTGAAGCAGGTGACTTGGAACTAGCAAATCATGGCGTCCATACTGGGAGCCATTTGCAGCCTGAAGGCTGGTGCCCAGATGCCTGGGTTTGCGTTCCACAGCCTTCCACAGCACCCCTGCGTTCCCCTCTCAGCTCAGCACCCCCTCCATTTGATGTCAGCTCTGCCTCTCCGCTCTCTTTCCCAGATTTTGCCCACCTGAGCCCACCTTCTCGTGACTCTTCCCCTGTGGACAGGCCGGCCCTCCTCAAACTTTCCTGGGCCTTTGGTGTGTTGTGTTCTAGCTGTTTTAACATCATTTCTAAAGCAGAACCATAGATCCCTGAAGGGCAGGTCCATTCTGACACCCCTTAATTCTGTATGTGTCCACACTGTGGCACGTAGGCACCCAGGAGAACCATAAAGCCCGAACTCCAAGCCCATAAATAACAGAGTTGATGGGAGCTTAGGGCTGGCTCTGCCACTGGCCTCTTCTCATCCCCAGCGGTGTGAATTTGGATAAACTGTTTGCCCTCCGGACTTTTTTCTCCCCGTCTATGACAGGTGACCAGGGACTGGGCCTCTGGTGTCGGCGAGCCCATGCCTCCCATGGCTGTTTCTCCCCGTGATGGCTGCAGCTCCCTTGTGAGCGTGGCTGGTGTGCCCGCTGTTCTGTAACATTATACAGATGCGGTCACATGCCAGGGGACCGGATCCAGGCTTGCAGTTATTTTGGGCCGTGCAGGAGCCTGTGGGAAAATGCTGGAACATGTCTGAGTCACTCAGGCAAATACCTTTCTTTCCATGTTCCAGCGTGCTTTGAACTTTCAGGCTGCACACACGCACACACAACTCGAGCCGGCGCACACTCCTCTGCATTTCCGCTGCCCTGCCCGAGCAGCGCTCCCTGTTTGTCAGCTGTGCCAGTACTCCCTCACAGCTCTGCGAAGTTTGATTGCAGAGGGGTGAGGAACAAGGCAGGGTTGAGTCCTTGGAGGCACTAAGCCTGGATACAGTTACGGTGCCCTCCATGGTGGTGCTTACAATAGCAAGCTCCCAAAACGTGGAAAGGTGATGGGAATTTCCCATGCTTTATCTGTCATTTTAATGTTTACATTTTTGCATGGCAATTGGGTCTTATTAGAGTGTGACTAAGGAGGGGCAGCTCTGAGGCTCTTGTGAGTTCAGGGCCCACCATTTGTCAAGGGTCCATGGGGTGTATTTGACCCCATGGCCATCTGGGACAAGCAGTTTTTCAGCCACCACATCTTCAAATTCATTGTATTAAATTTGGTAAAGACCCCTCCTTGGAAATAATGGATTTTCTGGCAGCCTGAGAACTCGAGCTCTTAAGGCCCCATGGTCCACCTCCACCACCTGCTCCTTGTTCTGCAGCTCGGTGCAGAGGGACAGGACCACGTGGCCAATGTGGCCCTGGCCACTGTGTGTGTGCTGGTGTGTGCCGCTGCTTCCCAGGCACTCAAACTGCGTGTTGTCCAGCACCGCCCATGAGAAGCCAGTACAGGCCAAGGAGTTCTGCTTCAGCCCCGTGGGGACATGTTGTGCAGGGCAAGGAGGGTCCAGGAGGCCAGGAGAGAGCCGGAGGGCCAGCAATGCTGCCATCTACTTTCAGGGGGTGGGGGTATAGCCCCAGGTCACCAGGATGGGCCCTTCCGAGGCTGAAGAGCCTACAGCACGGGAACCTTGGCAAAGGTACAAGTGGGAGGAAGCCTGGAAGTGGGGAGGGGGGCTGGAAAGAGTCCTCCAGGGAGGGGCCTTTCTCTAGAACATTCCCTTTTCTGTCCTTGTTTGCTCCATCCAGAGCTTTGCCCTGTTGTCCAGGGACCACATGGAGACTGATTTCTCCACAGCCCTGTCGCTGAGGAGGAAAGCCTCGCTTGTCCAATGAGAAATCCCACCACTTGCCTCACTCCCTTCTGCTTTATTTCTCTCCCGCCCACCAAGGCTCCCTCCTTCTAGGTTGCAAAAAAAAAAAAAAAAAAAATACAAAAACCCCAAAATGAAGCCTTTTCTTCTCAGCCCTCAGTTTACCCCCTTTATTATCAGATATCCTGAAAGAGCCAGCAGGAGTCACCCCTGGGCTCCCATGAACTGCTCTTCCCCTCGGGGTCCCCTGAGCCTGCTCTGCTCAGTGGGCCAGCGCTGTGGACACCCCACGAGTTCTTCTCTGGGTGTGCCTCCCCTGTCACAACGCCCAGAACCCCTGCCTGTGCTCAGACAGCCAGCCAGGCTGCCCACTCCCTTCCTCAGCCCGCTGTTCTTGCATGGTTGGGGTGTGTGTGTATATACATATATATAATTTCTTTCTTTATATTTTACATCATTGTTCATTTTTTTTTTAATAGAGGCATGTTTTATTTATTTATTTGTTTGTTTGTTTGCTTTGTTTTTATACAAGCACTGGGTACAGTCAGAAGCGCGGGAGGGCGAGAGAATTCACCAGAGCCAGAGCGGGGAGCAGAGCAGGCAGAAGGACCGAAGTACACTGCTGAGGGGAGCAGCGGGCGGCAGGAGAGGTCTGCGCGCCATGCGGGACCCTCCTCCGGTGGCCGGGGAGCAGCTGGGGATCGAACCGGCGCCGCAGAGGCCGCGGGCAGCTTCAAAACCCAGCGCTCAACCGCTGCGCCACCGGGGAGGCCCCATCATTGTTCATTTTTGTACAATGTTTGCTTTCTCCTCTCAGGCGTAGGCCCCGGAGAATCCCGCCACCAATTCACCCGTCACGTCACCATAGTCCCTGTGCTCTTTCCTGCCCATTTTGATCCCTCTCCTTCCTCCTCCCCTGCAGAATGTCTCTGATCTGTAGTTGCCTGTTAATTTTGTTTTGATTTATTGTTATTATTTTTCCCATGATCCCTTATTTGGTTCCCCTATATTCCTCCTATACGAAACTATAGGTTGGTTTTCTGCATCAGCCTGACTAGGTGATCGCACCTGCTATGTGACCGAACACCGGGAATGGCCATGCTGGCATGTTGTAGACATGGTTAACACCCACAACCTGTGGACTTTGCCAAAGGGGAGCACCCTCCGTCATGTGGGCCTCATCCAGTCAGCTGAAGGCCTAAGAGCAAAAGTAGGTTTCCTGAGAAAGTAGTGTCTGTCTCAAGACTGAAGTGTCTGCTTCTGCCTGAGTTTCC